ATGTAACAAAGTAGATATTGTGGGTACGTAAGTGGAGGGAAAGATGTGTAAAGAGTTTTTAAATGAGGTGGTTATACTGTCACCATAATTTTTATTCGATATATAAATTTATTCATTATAGCAATTATTTTTTTAATTTGTCGAATTTTTATCTTCAACCTTCCATTAATTAGTATGTCTCGTTCTTGACGATAATTTATGTTAAAATAAATATTTTCTTGCTTTAAAATGAGGAAAAAAATATTTTCTTTGCACTTTATTTTTTTTTAAAATATGATGAAAAATAAGTTATTTTAATTTATTTCAACGGACTTTTGGACATAAAATTATTATCAAATATAAAATGTGTTAACTGATGAAAAGTTTAAGGATAAAAATGATATGAAATTTTTTTAGGAACTTAAGTGCTACAACGAACAAAAATTAAAAACTTTAAATGTAATTAAAATGTGGAGCAAGAAATAAAAATTGTGGTGTGAATAAAATTAGCAATCTAAATATTATAGAGTTAGGTGAGAGAATATTAATTGACCTTGTATTTTCAATTAATTTCAACAGCGTGACATGACCACATAAATAAATTCGTGACAATTGCACCTCTGGCACCTTTTATGCTTGATTTCGTTTCTTTCTCTCTTTCTTTGTCACGTAAATTAATAATTAACAATGATTAGCAGCAAATAATCATTTTTAACAAGTTCCACCTTAGCAAATAGCTGGGATATGCAAAATTTAAAGATTTTTTTGTGTAGTTGACGTCAATTAATAGTACAAGTTATCAATGATCAAGCAGTCAATTGTACTTATATAACGTTCATCGAGAAGGATAACAACATAAATTATTTATAGTAAGCTTCTTGTGAGTTAAACAAGCTTTTTTTAATCCTTAGTTGAATTCAATTACGGTGTATATTAATTACTAGATTTTTATTTTAATAAAACGTAAGGCAAACAAAAAATATTTTAATCTGTTAATTTCATTGAAACTTCGCCTGGTGTCGTGGGTAATTAATTAATAATATCTAAACCTCTAGACAAATATATTATGCCCTCAAAATCCTCCGAATCTACCAAAGATTCCTATCTTGAGGCTTCGAGGAAATTGTGGGTACAGACAAATTGTTATGAAATATTCTAGATTCTATGGTTGCGTGGTTTACCAACTTTCCTTTCATTGGCTCAGACCAAGACTCTATTGACTAAAATATGGTCAATTAAAATAAAATAAAATAAAATTAAAGTTGAACCCTAACTTTGAGGGTCCGCACTGTCCCGTCGTTAGAGTTTTGTGAAGGAGGAAAATCGAGGGATGTGCTCCAACAGACCAGTAAACAAAAACTGTCTGTACACTGTATCTACAAGGAGTCCAATTCCATGCCTCAAGAATCGAACTCCCACACTGCTACTGTCAACAAAGCGTGAGATAACCTGTCATTTGTACTATTGGACTATGCCCGGGGGCTTAGTCAATTAAAATTAGATTATATAGTAAATTAAAATTAGATTATATGGTTAGATGTTTTTGTATTTTTTATATATAAAATTTAAATGAATAGGTATTAACCTCTTCTAATAGTTTAAATTTTTTAAATAAGATGACGCAGTGAATAAAACCTAAGTAAAAGATTCGAGTTCAATCTCATCGTCATTCACTTAAATAAATTATACATGAGTCAAATTTTGACGAGAAAGAATTATTGTCCTTCACCAATGAGTGGGCCAAACATAACGTTAAATGAAAACATGGAACTAGGGACAATTAATATACACTTATTGTTGAGGTTTATGATTTTATCTTAAAAGGTCAATCTTATTAAGAGATGTAGTTCAAATCCTTATAAATTGATTTATATTTTCATCTTTATTTGATATGGAATTATATTCCTTAACATGCCTCGGACGAATCTTAAAATTCGTGTGCTCATTTTTTTTTATGTCTATTACAATGAACGGAATCATCAATCTATACATGGGCGAAGCCATGTGAGGAGGAGTGCGGGCATATGCCCGCACTGAATTTTTAGGCCCAAAACATTTTTTTTTTAAAGCAATATCCCATGATTTTGCTTGATTTTAGCTATAGGTTGATTTGGATTTCACTTGTCAAAATATGAAAACTTGTAAGGAACACGTTTAATTATAAAATGTCATTTTTAGTTTTTTTTTTTTTTNTTTTTTTTTTTTTTATAGTTTTATCATCATTAAATTTATGACCAAAATTCAATGTGCGACGTGTGTTAAATTATGCACGAACTGAACAAATTTTTTGGCTCCGCCTCTGAATCTATGCATGACATTTCTAAGTAGTCATTTAAGATGAAGTCACATCTGGAATCCCTCTATCTTGTGTTCCTCAATATAATTATTCAAATAAAGTGTTGTAGTATTTTTTAAAGACTAATGGTACAAATAATACATTTTTATTGACTTAGTAACTAAGTGTTAAAATGGTATTTTACGTATTACGAAATTGTTTTAAGGAACTACAAAAAGGAAGAAAGTTCATAAGGGTATTTTAAGCGTTATCACTATTATTTATATAACATGAAATGGTCAAGGAAAGTATGCGTTATTAAAAACTTGAAAAAATAGAGTGGTGTAATTTTTAAAAGGAAGTGGGTGCCACTGAATTTGTCATAAACCTCATAGGAGATATGCGTTATTCAAAATTTAAAATAAAAGAAGTTAGTATAATTTTTGAAAAGTGATTTGAAATTATCAAGAAACCTCATGGAGGTCTATGTAATTTGTCCTAAATTTTAATATAAATCAAATTTGAATTCTATGAGAATACTAATTTTTATTTATTTTTTATTTTTTTGATAACGGGAAAACTCGCAACCGCTACCCTTCAGGTGCGCACTGGATAAATTCTCGGTCTGGCGCAATAGCCTGCAAATCAGGCTAACCATGTAAACCGCACTAGGCAAATCTTGTGCGACAAGTTCGACCGAGAAAGTGTTGATAAGGGAAATCGAACTCGTGATCAAAGGCTTCTGCGTTCACTTACTCCACCAATTCGGCCACTCTATGAGGAGCGAGAATACTAGTTTTTATTAGGTGGGTTTGGGGTGGTCTAAAGATTCTTGACTCCAAAATTTCTTTTTCAAAATCTGGATCTTCGAAAAATTCCTTTAGAAGAATATATGTTGAGGTTCTGTTCCGTGGTCCTCTGCAGAACTCCTTTTTTGGGTTCTTTTGGGCAAGCAGGCAGGCACGAAGTGTGTATTGGATGGACCTTTATTTGCCATTTATTCCTTGACTAAAATAGTTTAGGCTACAAAAATATACAGAGGGGATGCAGAAAAAATAATTGTGGGGTCGTACTGTTTCCATATTCAGACTCCAGTTTATGAATATTTTCCCTCTTTTAAGGACAATTAGAATACATATCTCCACAATATAATTAATCTGGGAAAGAATATATACTTACGAATTGGAAAGAATCTGCAAGCATGTAGATACATTTTGCTGACTATTAATTAAAAGGTTAAACCCTAACCTTAAGGGTCCCCCACCATCCCTGCCCTGGAGCATCGTGAGGGAGGTAAATTGCAGGTTATGCCTCCAAGGGTATAGGGTGGAAGGCTGCTTGTACACTTGCACTTACCCAAGAGCCAAATCCATATTTCAGGATTCGAACCCTTAACGCAACAGTCTCAAGTAAAGTTGGATTTCTCCACCCTCCCTTTTTACCACTTGGAGATGTGCCCTGGGGGCTTGCTGACTATTAATTAGTAACAGCTCGTAGGGTGTATACAAAAATATAGAGATTGGTCGACTGTGCAACATCAAACTTGGGTGTTTATATTTTCGTATATTTTTGTTTGATTTTAATTTGATCTAACATTAAGGGTTTGGAAAGCTTGACTAGAATTTTATTATCAAAATCAAATTTGAGAAATTTACGTAGATTTACAAATTTTTACGTTAACATATTTTTGACAAATTTCAAGATTTTTCAAGGATATAAGTCACGTAACCCTTATGTAAATACAGATCATGCTTTCATAACATGGTAAGTCGAACTCAATAATGCTTGTTTGGATAAAATTATAAGTTGTTTAAATTATAACATGATATAAATGATTGGTTGATAAGTAAGCATTAATTGTGAATTTTACAACTTTCTTGGTGGCCCCTATTTTCTAAAACTCATTTCTTATTTTCAATGGTACATTTTATGCATCCCATGACCTTTCATTAACTTTTTAATCACACATTCCATCAACTTTTGTCAAATATACTAAAAATATGATTTTTAACTGAACCAAACAGGATGCTTAATGTTTTACTACTACTAAATTATCTAGAACTTGGAATGTTTTCCAAACATTATGCATTTGAGTTGGACAAATTTTGAGCTTCTATAATTGGTTATAGGTGTTTCATTGAATTGATTGACGAGCTTCCATACAATAACACTTGGAGCTTGTTTGAGCCACATTTCTCTTCAGTAATACATTTTGAAATAGTATTTTGATGGAGAATGTATAGTTCAAAAATAAGAAAAAAATTTAAATTTGCGTGTAATATTATTTTATTGAATAATGTGCGGTTAAAAATAAGAGAGTGAAAAATATATTTTGAAAATAATAGGAACCAAACAAGTGCTTAGAATGTGGTATAGGTTCATGATCACTTGATCCATATGGGCCACTTTTTGGATCTCACCATACAGGGAACTTGGAAGTACCCCGCCACAACAATATCTTGGAACCTCATGGTAGAAAAGTCGAAGGTCGAATTGCCCAACTCATATATATTTGTCATCATTTATTGCCATAAAATGCCACATTAATTAGGATTGATTTGTAGCAATTGAAATGTAAAGTCTATTTTCGCTTTTACTTTTTGTAGAAGAGTTTTTCTGCTAAAGTTACTTTAAATCAAGTTTTTAAAAAAAACTTTTCTAACAATATAAAATATTTTTAAAAAATTGTCAAAACAAGTTCAAAGCAACGTTTTAATTTCGGAAATAGTTCTTGACTTTTCAAAAAAATTGCAAAATAGGCCCATAATCAAAGACTTTTTCTACACTTTTACACGAACATATAGTACTTCGTACAAATGTCCCTTTATAAATAAGGATGTGAAAATTTTGAAATCGTTTGTTAATTAATTATGAAACTTCCAAATTATTATAAACTATAACAAAATATAAGGGGAAGTGAACTAAAAGATAATATAGTAAAAATACAAGACAATATGGGGAGATTTTTTCTCTCCTATCACTTATCTTGTACAGTAGGCTTACACTGTTACACAACATTGATACAATGCATGCAATGTGGACTTGATGAGTTCATGTATGTATATATTGATGGAAGACTACATACATTGTACCCTTTAATAATTCATAGAAAGTAGTACGATACAAAATTGTGATTCATTGCTGTATACTCAGGTTGGCTTGGCCAACTCGTCAATTTTTAATTTATAAATGAAAAACTAAACACCGTAATTGATATATTTGAAAATTGTGTAAATATTTGTGAAATATGAAAAACCCACTTTACAAGTATAATTAATTAGCAATAGTACAATATTTATAATAAGTCGAGATTGGACCGATTATCATGGGTAGTTGAGTTGAAAAATTTAACTCAATATAGCTCAATCACAATTAGTGGACCAATCCAAAGCGGGTTCGATTGGTTTCAATCCGGTTACTTTAAAGGGCTGACAGGCTTCATGCCTAAATTGTCCACTTGTTTTGGTCTTGACGCCACCATGTCCTACATATAAAGGACAATAAAATTAGGGATGTCAAATGAGCTGAATCGACCGCTCGGCTAGTAAAAAATCGACTTGTGGGCGGCTCGAGCTCGTACATGGACGATCTTGAGCACGAGCGAGAATGAGCTCCACGACAGTGACCAAAATGGTCGCTTTTTAAAGAATGTAATTGTTTTGGTCACTATATATAAGTTCAGTAACTGTTCGCAAACGGCCACTTTATTTTATATATTTTTCTCTTCTTTTTTTACTCTATAAATACTCCAATCCATTTCCAATTTTTTCACACAACCAACAATAATTCTCACCCTCCTATACACTCTATAATCTACTACATTCATTTCTACCTCCAATTTCAATTATTCAGATTTCAATCATTCAATATCAATTATCACACTACAAATTTACAATTACAATCTTATAAATAATTTTTCTTTGAATTCTTGGTTTCTTTCCATGCTCTTTATTTACTTACTTAATTACTTACTAGTTACTATATATAGTCTATACTATACAATTTTCAATATATATTTTACACATTTCATTACGATTTACAAATGGATCCACGATCTTTTTTTTGGGACTTGTTCTGTATCGGAGGCGAATCACCTGTGAAACTGCAAAGTTGATTTCAGAATGAATTTGTCGATTTCAACGAAGTAACAATTTTCGAAAATATTTCAGATTTGGATGCTCACGGAAGTGGTAATCCAATTGATTTGGACAATGTTGATGTTCCTAAAACAGAACATGAGGAATTAGATATTCCCGATGTAAGAAGGAAGTGAAAGGGGAAAAGGCAAAATGTCAATGTCACTTTAAATTGATTCCAACAGGCCGTGTGATCGATGGAGTTGCAGAATCTAAAACAGTATATAAATACTGTCAACAACGATTGGCATGACAAAAGAATATTGGTACCACCCATTTCAACCGTTACTAAAAAGCACGTGCAGCCAAACATATGCTTCTTGGTACCTCTCAAACGTAATTACAATTTGGTAGTCCAACAGTCAATTCCGCTTCTATGACACCTTGCATGTACATGTATTCAGAGGAGAAAGCTCAAACGAAATGGTGAAGTTTTTTTGCTGTACTGAGTTGTCTCTAACAACAACAGACAATCAACATTTCGTCTCCTAGGTGAAAGAATATCTTCAATCAAGGTACGTTGGGGTAAGTAGAAAAACTTTTCGTTCCGATATAATACAATATTTTCTTAATACAAAGAAACAATTGATTGTTGATTTGTAAAAATATAGAGGTGTTATTTTTTAATTTCAGATTTATGGGAGAGAGATTAATTTAAAAAGGTTATATAATTGTAATTGCACACTACATAGACCACTTTAGTGTATGCATAGTAAATTATTGGTTTTAGGATTATTTAAGTTCCCTCGCAACGTTAACAATATATTTAACACTATTATGAACATTATTAGAAATTATCACCGTGAGAGTAAAATTCGTTCTTTTATATTTGACAACGTTAGTATTAATAAGCCAGTTGTCGATAAATTGTGTACGGTACTACAGTCCAATTTCGGTGATTATTTATTTCATGTTCATCGTGGCCATGTTTGAGCTACGTTTTTTTTCAAAAAAACATATTCTTAAACAATGATTTGATATTATTTCAATCATACATTCTTTCATAAAATAATATTACACGCAAATTAAAAAAATTTCTTTATTTTTTAACCACACATTTCTCATCAATACACTATTTCGAAATGCATTCTACGAAAAATAAAGTGGTTCAATGTGCGTGTCATATTTTTAATTTAATTGTGTAAGATGGACTGAAACATATTAAGAATGAAATTTAAAGAATTAGAGATGTATTAATATATATCACAATTTCACCTAGTAGAAAATAAGATTTTTGAGGAATTTTGTGTCGAATTTGAGGTGACGAATATGAAAACATTTGTTAGTGATGTAGGATATAGATGGAACTCCACTTATTTATCATTAAAATCATGCGAAGGATTTGTACATTTAATAAACAATATGTATATTAGAAACGATGATGACACTATTTTGAATAAATCTAATTGGCTTTTAGCTTTTAAAAATTTAAAAAAAAAATTGACAAGTTTTTATGACTCTATAAATATTTTATCTGGAATATATTATTTCACTAGCTATATGTTGCTTGAACATCTTTATATTCTTGCAAAGGGTTTTTATAAATACAAAATGACTCCAATTTTAGTGAAATTATATATTATATGAAATTAAAGTTTAGAAAACATTAGAAAGACTTGTCTATGTTATTTTTTTTAGCATGCATCATAAATCCTAATACAATTTATCGGATACTAAATATATAATTGATTAGATTTCAAAATAATACACCTATCACTTATAGAAATTTTAAAACTAACTTTTATGTGAAATGTATAAATTATATGTAGAATGAATTGGTGCAAATATTAGCAATGTTATAAAAATTGGACCGGATCGGCTGGTTCACGATTGAACTGACCTCAAATTCAGTTCAGTTAAAGAATATTCACTAGAAATAGAAAATTGGTAACAAAATTGTTAAACCAACTAGTTTAACCGTGAACCTGAAAACCATTTCTGATTTTTTACAAGTTAAATTTTTTTTATACAAAAAGATTTTTAACTTTCTTGGTAAGCTCACTTATTGAACTAACAAGCCCATTTCGAATTTCTTTCTAAGTGCTACGCGATTTTATAGAGACTCATTTTTCATTGTTTTCACTATTCTTCCAATGAGGGATAAGCGCTAAATCATTTTATAGAGTCTCCTTCTCTATTGTTTTCATTACTCTTCCAATGTCGAATAAGATTTGTAGCCAATTTTAAATATTTAATAGTTTACTCATTATATCCATTAACAAATCATAGCCCCAACAAAACTATAATCAAATTTAATTAAATTTTGAATAAAGCAATTATTTTGAACATATTAATTGTTAATTTTTAAAGTTTTAAAATAAAGATAATAAATTTAATTAACAAACATTAATCTATATTTACTTTAAATTAGTAAACTAAAACTAAAAAGTCTATTATTATTAAAATGTTTTTTAGTTTATGTGCGTATATAATTTATTCAATTTTGGCATCCGATTCGATACAAGTTAGACCCAACCCTTTAACCTTTGACCCTTTTGTCGATTTTTAAAACATTGAATATTAGTTAGGTGCTCTCTACACCTACTCCTCCCGCTAATATCAAAGAAGACAACGTTGAAATATCAAATTTATTTGAAGGTATTAATACGTATAGATATGATGCAATATGTTCTTCTAGTAGTATGTCTACCGCATGTAAAATCAGACATCGAACACAAGTCCAAATGCATTGTCTGCTAAATTACTTGATTACTTTAATCATAATTGCCTAATAATAAATCAATTAAAAAAGTTCACAAGAAGTAATTGAATTCTGGCGAAAGTATGAACGACGATTACTAATGATTTTTGCGATTGCAAAAATCTACTAACACTTTCGGTTAGTACTATAGCGTTGGAGTCTGCTTTTAGTGCATATAATAGGGTTTTGTCCGAAGTTAGAAGCCGAATGAAATAAGATATTTTAAAAGCATTTATGTGCGTAAAGGGTTGGCAAGATGCTCATTTCCGGTTGTAAGATAAATATGCTGAAATTACATGTTGTCAGGTGAGTGAAATTTAATTTAACCATATTGATAAAATTTGTTATTTTATAATGCTATTTTATAAATCTGTTTTTTAATTACATGTAATAAGTTGTTTGTGTATAATTTTTAACTTCGCATACTTGAAATTAAATTTGTCCCAAGTCCAAATAAAGGAGTGGAGTTTTATCTTTAAAAAAATATAATAATATACAAAGAAGTTAAATTTAACTTGTCACCAATAACAATTACATTCTAACATCAACAGACGCAGCAGAATATACAACCAGCGATGAAATAAAATGGTTGGACTCATGAAATGATCAATAGTTCAATTAGCCTCAGTTTGAT